ATATAATATATGCGTAAATATATATGTGTGTATAACAATTACAGGGTATTTTCATACTTTCTCCATGCAGCTTTGTTTTCGCTGAGTCGACAATTTAGGAGTGTATCATGATCGGAGCTGTGCTAGGAATATAAAACGTCGTTTGTTATCAGCTATAGTAAGCGTGTCTGTATGAGCTACTTTATATACTACTTATATATTGTATTTGTAAATCTGTGTACCCATATATAAACAACTTTTTTGATTGACTGCAACAATTACAGCTAGAAATAATGATGGATCAAATCAACCCAGAACGGGTTTGTTCATATTGAGATGCTTTCATTTGATTCTATTCTATTCTAATCATCTATTTGATCTCTACAAATGGCTCTCCTGAACGAAATAGAAGGACATCTCCAGAATGGGAACGGCATAGACAATGTCTCCCGAGGAGACCGATTGCGAGATGCGCGATGGTCCACCTGAGCTGGCAGCAGAAACTTCAAGCCAAATCTCTGTTGCTGTAGGTCAAGTAGATAATTTATTTACTTTTAAAATTGCCAAGCCATGGCAATTCATATTCTTATCGCTATGGGAATTGCTCTAGTAGCAACCAATTTATTTTTTATTTTTATAACAATTTGAAATCTTATCTTGGAACAGTATCAAACGTTTGCTTTAATCGCTTACGTGTCTATTAAAATTATCTATCAAATTGATCAGATTTGTTCCTTTTTGCCAGTGTTAAGACTCGCATAATGTTTGTAAGAAATTTTGAATTTCACAACTAACTGACTAATGGGATAACTAAGGCCTTATAGGCCTTTAAGAAAAACTCTATTACTTTGAAAATTGGTTTAACTATAAGTTTATTCAATCTAATTAACATACCTAAAGTATCTTATGGCTGATAGTTTCGGAGTGATTTTAGGATCTATTCCTAGTTTCGCTTAGATTTTGGCTTCGACTTCTTCGCAGACTTGAAACTGCGGCAAAGAAGAAGCAGACCCAAAATGGGCAACAGAATTACAGCTAACGCGATGCCAACAATGTCTAGGATATAGAACTGATACCAGGGCAGCTTGACGCCTTCAGACACTAAGTGTGGTGCTCCACGATGCTTAATGACATAATCGATCCAGTATATAGCAGTATCCATTGCACTCATTTGTCGATCACGGAAGATGTGGGAAGCTCTCTTCATGTTATCCCTATACTTGGGATTCTCCAGGAGCTCAGTCAAGGAATAGCGCAGCTCCTTCTCCGTAACGGTTCGGTAGCTTACGCTTAGAGCATAGCCTGCATCTACGCCTTTCTTAATATTTAAATGCTGATCGGCATAGACAGGCATGCCGAGAACTGGCACACCATAATGAACCGCCTCCTGAGTTCCGAAGAGACCGCCATGGGATATGAAAACCTTGACATTCGGATGGTTTAATATATCAGTCTGGGGCATCCATTTCTGGACCATCACATTGGGAGGAAGATTAGGTAATTTGTCATCCTCAAACTTCCAGAGAACGCGTTGCTTAAGGCTAGAAAAGACCCCAAGGAACATTTGGATCTTTTCGGGTGGAAGATCCGCACTTCGCACTTGAGAACCTATGAAAGAGATATGTTATTCATGATCATTGCAAGGAATAAGGCTTTGAAACTCACCCAAACTGAAGTAGATGGCTCCATCCTTGGCTTCATCTAAGAATTTTTTTATATTTGTGGGCAAAGGCTTGGCGGGCTTTATATGTAGTCCGCCGACTGGAATCATGTTGAACGCTATAGGCCGAGGTGCATCCAAAGGCACATAGCTATTCAGAAGAATAACTGAGATATTCTGTTCCAATTGCTTAATAGTTGGCAAATCTTTGAACTGTTTGGACAGATGCTTCTGCAGTATTTCATCCTGGGCAGGATAATACCAGAAGTAGCGCAGCAGTTCATCAGCGAACGAGCTGAATACGTTGTCGATACGTTCTGTGAGCGACATTCGATCCGTATAGGGCTTCCATCCGTGAGGCACATACGACCAGGGATTAATTATTCCAGTTAGGGAACTCAGATAGTTGGAGTAGCCGAAGGTTGTGACGGTTATAATTGGAATTTGATAGAGGTGACCCAGGATGAGGGCACCCTCATTGAAGAACTGYTCGGCCAGAAGTAAATCATATTTCCCCACCTTGTCTTTGGCAGTGATTAGATTCTGAAATTCCTTCTGCTCAAATGCGAAGTTTGTGCTTCCCAAT